GTTAAACTCAGACTGGTGGGCGGAGTCACAGGTTCTGACAGGTTACACTGAGGCTGATGGGCGGAGTCACAGGTTCTGACGGGTTAAACTCAGACTGGTGGGCGGAGTCACAGGTTCTGACAGGTATTGTTTTTCTTCTTGTTTTTTAGAGCCCCAAATGGAAACGAGTATCTGTTCCAAGCCAAAGATGAAGTGAGTATGAATGTCTCTTAGATTCTGGATCAGAACCGGTTTGGCTGCATGGAGAGTTTCAGAATCAGAACATGGATTATTTTTTATCTGACAGAGGAATGTGGATCCTAAGCTGTGTTCTGATTCCTAAACTAGATGTAAACATCCTGATTATAAAATAAAAGTGTTTTGATGAGTTTCTGGTCTTTAGAAGCGGCACCGGTCCAGCTCTGTAGACGAGTTTTTGTAGACCTGAACCAGAATCTTTAGTTCTGACCCGTGTTGCTCCTCCTCCTCAGGAGGAGATGAGCACCTGGATCCAGGCCATCCTGAACGCCGCTGACCTCTCCCACACGGAGGGCAGCAACCCCGGCACACCGGCCTCAGTGCGCGCTCAGACCATGCCCGCCATCGTCTCGGTCGGCGCCGAGTCCAGTCCCGGCAAGAAGGACAAGGAGAAACGCTTCAGCTTGTTCAGCAAGAAGAAACAGTAGAACCTGGAGGAGTAAAGCAGAACCCTGACCCAGAACACCTCAGTGGAACCAGCCTGACGCTCTGACCCCGAACACCTCACGGTTCTGTCAGGACCCCTTCATGTTTCAGCTTCCTGAAGGTCCAAACAGAACCTCGTCTTCTGAAACCTTCAGAACCAGACATCCAGAGTTCTGATCCTGGTTCTGCTGCAGAACCCTTACAGTTCTGGTTCTGCTGCAGCCTTCAGTGACACAGACCCAGCCACTGTCATGTGATGGTAACTGGGTCGTTAAAGGAGCAGCAGTGTTCTGATACGTTTTCACTGAATGGATCAGAACAGAAGCTGATGGGAACAACAGAAACTGAACCGTGTCGGGTGAGTGTTGGGTCAACCCTAACCCTGACTGTGTCAGGTTTGGTTTCACTGACATTTTCTGGGTTCTGAAAGGCTTGGTTCTGTTGTGTTTGTGGTGGGCGGAGCGTCACTGGACTCATCAGAGCATCTGTCAGCTCTGATTGGTTACTCCGGCGCAACGCTGACCTGAGCAGGGACCAGTTCCTGAGCTTTGGGGGTTTTGTTTTTCCTCCGTTCTGTGAGGGTTCTGGAGAAAACTGGACCAACTGTGCTTTTAACTTTCTATCGGTTCTGTTTCATGTAAAAATGTTCACCTGCATGCTTCATGTAGAGCTCACCTGAAACTTTTTCTTTGGTTCTGTCGGCTCCGGAGTGGAGAACTGCACAACCGGCTGGAGTTGTCTCGTTCCACAGTGCTCCGATACTTTCTGCTCACAGTTCTGATCCGTAACTTAACCAACATGTATGACCGTCTGTGCACAATCAGAACCTGCTGCGTATTAAACCACTGCGTATCACACTGCACCTGAACTCATTAAAGCTTTGAAACTATACACACTACTTCCTGTTCTGGTCTTACTTCCTGTTTTGGTTTACTCACTTCCTGTCTTGGTCTTCTTATTTCCTGTTCTGATCTTACTTCCTGTTTTGGTTTACTCACTTCCTGTTTTGGTCTTATTTCCTGTTCTGATCTTACTTCCTGTTTTGGTTTACTCACTTCCTGTTTTGGTCTTATTTCCTGTTCTGATCTTACTTCCTGTTTTGGTTTACTCACTTCCTGTTTTGGTCATCTTGTTTCTTGTTTTGGTTTTATTAGTTGTTTTTCTGATTTAATGTTTTTAAATTGTAAAGCGTCTTTGAGAGTTTTGAAAAGTGCTATATAAGACTAATGCATTATTT